ACACAGGAGAGACCCAATGCAGAGGAATGGAAGATGATCACCAAAATAGCCAGACATCATGCTACTGAGACAGTTTTCCCAGTGCAACAGGGTAACAGATACGAGGCCCTGGCAACACTGTAGAAGAGTACAGTAGAAGAAGCCACAGCCACAGTCACCATCATCCAGGCTGAGGGTCAGCTGGGCAGTCAATGGAAGAGACACTGGGTCATTGTGGTAGGTGACTCATCATGGTGGGCACCATCATGGTGGGCATCGTGGTGGGCACCCATCGGGGGGGCTCAAGTGTCTCTACTAATGCTAGGAGTATGGGGAACATGCAGGAGGAACTCACATTCCTGCTTGCAAACAAGAACTTTGACTTAGTTGGGCTAACTGAAACTTGGTGGGACCCTACTCGTGATTGGGTCTTAAGCATTGAGTGCTATAGACTGTACAGATGAGGTAGAGTAGGGAAAAAAAGTGGGGGTTGCTTATGTTTAGGATCAATATACATCTTCAATAATCAAGATGGGACCAGAGGAGGGGCAAATTGAGGTATTGTGGGTCAGAACACAAAGGGGTTGGAGGGAAAGGGACTTGGTAGTGGAGGTCTACTACAGGCCGCCACATCAGGAGGATGAGTTGGACCTGGAATTCTCCAGACAGCTCTCAAAGGCCATACAATCAAGGGGCACAGTTGTCATGGGTGACCTAAACTACCCTGGCATCTGCTGGGAGGAGCAGTGAGACATATTCAACAGTTCACATAGGTTCATAACCTGCATAGAGTACCTTCACCTAATGCAGGAGGTATATGGTCCCACTAGGGGAAATGCCTTACTGGATTTGGTGTTGGCTATAGGGGATGACTTGGTTGGGAATCTACTGACACAAGGTAACCTAGGGGACAGCCACCATCACTTGGTTGAATTCACCATCTGGTGCAGGGTGAGAAAGATAACCAGTAGGGCAGAAGAGATAAATTCAGTGTGCTCAGGAGATTAGTTAGTGAGGTACTGAAGAACAGGAGCATTGGTAAGCTGGGAGCCCAGGAAAAGTGGTCATTCTTAAAGGGAGCAATCCTACAGGTGCAGGTGAAGACAATTGCACAGGAAAGGGGGCAAAGGGGCCACAAAACACTCCTGGCTGAACAGGGAAATCCAGGAAAACCTAAGGGTAAAAAAAAAGCCTATAGGCTGTGGAAGCAGGGGGTAGCTACCAAGGTTGAGTACACCTACTTGGCTCACACTTGCAGGGAGGCAGTCAGAAAGACCAAAGCAGAAATGGAACTTAGACTGGCAACAAAAAACTAAAGACAACAAAAAGTCCTTCTTTAGGTATATAGGGAGTAAAATGAAGGTGCAGGGTAGCATAGGACCTCTACAGGATAAACTGGGGCAATTAGTGACAGATGGGGGGAGGGGTTGGACACAGACGAGGGTAAGCTCTTCAGTGAGATTTTTGCCTCTGTATTCCTGAACATGGATCACGACAAATCTCCCAATTGGATCATAGACAGGCACAAAAGGGAAACAAGCACACCAACTGTTAGCACTGACTTGGTGACAGGACACTTGGAGGGTCTGGATGTGTTTAAGTCATCAGGCCTAGATGACCTTCATCCAAGGGTGCTGAAGGAATTGGCCAGTGTCATAGCAGAGCCACTGGCGTGGCTGTTTAAGCACTCTTGGTGCTCAGGACAGGTTCCAGAAGACTGGAAAAGGGCCAGTGTGGTCTCTATTTTCAAGAAGAGGAGGAAGGAGTATCTGGTATAAACTGGTTAGTCTCACCTCTATACTTGGGAAAACCTTTGAAAAAATTATTAAGGATCACATTTGTGGGAGTCCAATGGGAAAAACAATGCTGAAGGGCAACCAGCATAGATTCATAGCAGGTAGATCTTGCCTGACTAATCTTGTTTATTTTTAGGACCAAGTCACAAAATGTTTAAATGCAGGAATTGAGGTAGATGTCATCTACTTGGATTTTAAGAAAGCCTTCTATATGGGATCTCATCCTATTCTCCCAGAGAAACTGAGTGGCTGTGACAGATGATTAAATGGTCAAGTGGGTGGCAAATTGTTTTAGGGATCACACCCAGAGAGTGGTGGTGGATGGGTTGGTATCAACCTGGAAATATATGGGCAGTGGAGTCCCACAGGGCTCGGGCCTTGGACCTGTGCTGTTCAATGTCTTCATCAGTGATGTGGATGAGGGTGTGGAAAGCACTTGGTCCAAATTCCTGATGATACCAAATTATGGGGTAAAGTTAACACAGTAGAGAAGAGGGAATGAATCTGGACAGGTTGGAAAAGTGGGTGGAACAGAATAGGATGCAGTTCAACAAGGACAAGTGCAAGGTGCTGCACCTAGGGAGAAGGAATCATCAGCATGCTTACAGGCGAGGGGAGGACCTTCTCAGCAGCACAGCAGCGGAAAAGGATCTCAGAGGCATTGTTGACACCAAGATGAACATGAGTCGTCAATGTGACAAAGCTCTCCGTAAAGCTAACCACGCTTTATCATGTATTAGTAGGTGCATGACAAACAGGTCTACAGAGGTGGTACTTCCAGCTATGTGACATTGGTCAGGCCACAGGTGGAGTACTGCATTCAGTTTTGGGTGCCACACTTCAACAAGAATGTGGACATCCTCAAGAGGGTTCAGAGGAGGGTCACTCATATGGTTAGGGGCCTGCAGGCAAACCCCTATGAGTAGAGATTGAGGGCC